TCTTTTAGTATAGTTTTAATATAATATGTATCATAAAATAATAAATCAAGCCTTCTGAAACATGGAGTCAGATCCTCATCCAAAAACCCCTGTGAACACCATCACACTCCTCCTGTTCCTCTTCCTCCTCCTCCTCCCAGCCTGAAACCACAGCAGTGGGGCTGGAGCATCTTCCCCATTCCCTTCTCCCATCTGAGCTCCCTGGGGTGAAGGAAACTGAGGCAGCACAGCTCCAGAAGGTCCCCAGAAGGTCCCCAGAAGGTTCAGGATGTTCCTCACAGGTTCGAACCAGCCAGGATTGAGCTTTGCCACCCACCAGGGCCATTCCAGGGCTGACATCACACACGAGTGGGAGTTTCAAGGAAAAGGCAGCTCTTGCTAAATCCCACAGACAGGAAAACACATCCCAGCACCTCCACCCTCGGCTGTGCTTAAGGGAAAGGGCTGCAAAGCCACTGGCAAAGCTGTGAGGTGATGGGGAAAGCAGCTTGGAAGGGAAAAGGAGGAAATTGTGGTGTCCGGGGTGGGTTTGGGGAGCAGGAGGAATGGCTGGGATGGAGGGAGGCACAGCAAGGCCCAGCCCAGGCCTGTGGGAAGGGCTGGGCAGAGCTGGCCCTGCCAGGGGAAGCCCTGCAGGGAATCTCCGGCACCGGGGGTGGTTTGTAATGCCCTGGAGCATCTGCCAGCCTCCTCCAGGGGCGTTCCTGGCAGCGGTGACAACGGGGCAGGGCCACATCCCCCGTGTGACAGCACCCAGGGACAGGGCTGGCCTTGGGGACAGTGCCACAGGAACTTGGCCTTGGGGACAGTGTCACTGGTACTTGGCCATGGGGACAGTGCCACAGGCTGTCCTTGCTTCCTCCTGCCAGGACAGGAACCCCCCAAGGGCTCAGGGGGACAACAAGGACCCCTTGTTTGCCATGGGAACCCCCCAAGGGCTATGGGAGACAACAAGGACCCCTTGTTTGCCATGGGAATCCCCAAAGAGCTCAGAGGGACAACAGGGACCTCCTGTTTGCCATGGGAACCCCCCCCAGGGGCTCAGGGGGAGCAGAGGAACCCCTGTTTGCCACAGGGACCCCCTATTTGCCATAGGAACCCCCCCAGGGACCCCCTGTTTTCCACAGGGACCCCCTGTTTGCCTTGGGAATCCCTCCTGTAGGGCCTCAGGGGGAGCACAGGGACCCCCTGTTTGCCATGGGAACACCCCCAAAAGCTCAGGGGGACCCCCTATTTGCCGTGGGAATCCCCCCAGAGATCCCCTGTTTGCCTTGGGAACCCCCACCAAGGACCCCCTATTTGCCATGGGAACCCCCCCAGGGACCCCCTGTTTGCCACAGGGACTCCCTGTTTGCCATGGGAATACCCCCAAGGGATTCCCATGGATTTAGGGGTGACAGGAGCTGTGACACCCCTCGCACACATCATTTCCAGGGTTTCCCTTCCCTTGCAGAGCTGTCTGTGCCCCATGGGAGGTTTGGGATGGGTGAAGGAACAGAGTCCAGAGTGGGAGGTTGGAGGCAGCCACAGAGCCAGGTGGGAGCTGTGCTTTAAAAAGCTATTATTTTGTTTTTTAAGGTTTTTTCCCTTTGCTTTTTAAAGTTTTTTTTTCCTTTCCTTTTTAAAGTTTTTTTCCTTTCCTTTTTAAAGTTTTTTCCCTTTGCTTTTTAAGGTTTTTCCCCATTGCTTTTTAAGGTCTTTCCCTTTGCTTTTTAAGGTTTTTCCCTCTGTTTTTTAAGGTTTTTGTCCTTTGCTTTTTAAGGTTTTTCCCTCTGCTTTCGAAGGCTTTCCAGGTCAAACGTGCAGCCCTGACCCCTGCACTGAGTGCTCTCCCTGGAATGCAGCTGGGCTCTGCTCCATCCTCCCTTCCCTGCTGGGACCCAGCCAGCCTCAGCTCCTGCTCTCCAAAACCTCATTTTGGGGAGAAAATGGGAGATTTCTCCATTTCTGCCTTCCACCTGCCCCTAGAGCAGGGCACTTGTGGCAGAGGGTGCCCAGACATCCCAAAACTCCTCACAAGAGCCTTCCTCCCCTCCCACTCCTCCTCTCCCTGCTGCATTCCCAGCTCCTTCCCGAGCTTCCCAAGGGACAAACTGCTCTCCCATCCTTCCTGCTGCATCCCAACGCCAGAAAACAAGTTTGGGGTTTTTAAGGGCTTTTTAAAGTGCACTCACACAATACCAAGGCAATTTTTTAGAATTTCTTTTTGTTTTTGCACACAACCCCCAAATCCAGCTGGGGCAAACAGCTGCATGCAGAGGAGCCNAAAAAAAGAAGAAAATAAAAATAAGAAGACAAAAAATAAAAATAATAGGACAAAAAATAAAAAAGAAAATAAGGAAAATAAGGCACTTTTTTGTGCCACTTTTTAGGACATTTAGGCACTGGTGGGACCAGTCTGGGTGTGGCCAGGCCAGCCCCTCAGGGCTCACACTGCGATCTGCTGGCTCTCCCTGAAGAGCGGCCGCGTGGCGCAGATGTCCTGGAAGATCCGGTAGCCCTGCTCGTGCTGGGGCTCCTCGGCCATGGGCAGCATGGGGCTGGAGCTGCAGCTCTTGCCAGCCTCGTCCACCACCTGCCTCAGGTACAGCTGCTCCACCTGGGACAAAGCAAAGAGGGCAGGGCTTGAGTGAGGAGTGAGCTCTTGGGGCATCTCTGATGCTCCAGGCAGTGGAGATGGGCTGGGGGACACACAGCAGGGCACAGGGGGACAGGTCCTGCCAGGACAGCAGGTCTGGCTCTCCACAAGCAGCTCCAGGAATAAAGGATGAGCCCCAGGGGTAAAGGAGCAGGCCCAGGGGTAAAGGAGCAGGCCTAAGAGTAAAGGAGTAGGCCCAGGGGTAAAGGAGCAGGCCTAAGGGTAAAGGAGCAGGCCCAAGGGTAAAGGAGCAGCTCTAAGGAACTGGCAGCAGGGATATTGAGGTGCAAGGACAGGCTGGGGGGGCCCAGCACATCCAGAGTGATCCACTGGGGCAGACATGCAGGACAGCAGGAGGTGACGAGGTCAGGAGCAGTGCAGGAGGCACAGGAGCAGTCTCTGATCTTGTAAAATCCCCACAGGGCCTCACAGACTGGTGGGTCTCTACTTGCTCAAGAGGGGATGCCACACCCTGCCTGTGCCCTCCCTGTCACATCCCTGCTGGCCCAAGAGGCTCCAGAAACCCTGTCCTGAGCCTTTCCAACCCCACAACTGCTGCAGCTTCTCCAAGGAGAAGTTTCTGACCAGAGCCATGAGGACTGACCCCACATCCCATCCCCTTCTTCCCCCTCCAACCCCAATGCTGCCAACCACAGCTGCTGACTGACTGATCTTAAACCCACCACTCCAGGGATTTACTTCCCCATTTCCCACAGGAAAAGGCAGAAATCCCAGAGCCAAAGCAGGATCAGGAGGAAGAGGAAAGATTTCCCTGCAGTTCACAGAACTCGTGCACTTAGGGAGCTTCATTTGCAAACCCAGCTCCAGGGATTTGATAACCAGCAGCCCAAGCACCTCTCAGGAGGCTGTGGGAAAGCACCACAGCACTTCCACCCCAATGCAGGCACCCAAATGCCCCATGGGGACATTGACACCCAAATGCTGCAGGGCTGGGGCTCTGCTGGCAGAATTCCCACCCTGCCTGGTTCCCTTTTGCTCCCCATACCTGGACAAGGATGAGTTTACACCTCAGGGGCACCGCGTCTGGGAACTCCTCCCCGAAGCACAGCATGACCCTGCTGTCAGGGAAGCGGCCCTGGTTGTTGTAGTACTGCTGCAGCTCTGCAAGGACACAGGAAAAATTGGAATTTGCCCTCCAAGGGCTTTGTTACACATCCCTGGGATCAAACAATCCGCAAGGAAGCTGCGGGTTCAAGCAAAGCCTCCAGTTTGGAATTTGCCAATTTGCCACATGACCCACAACACCACATTATCCTTTCCTAGGTCTGGGAGTGTCACCTGCTCTTCCTTGGGAACCCAGCAGGAAGGGATTCAATACGAGAAAGAAAAAAGGGTTCCACCCTTTCAACCTCACCACAGGGCCCAAGGAGGTCTCACGCCAGGTTTAAGTTCCAGAAATCCTTTGTGCATTATCCCAAGGCTTTGGGATCCCAGAATTACCTCAGCTTTTCCAGGGTGTTTCTGGCCAGAGTCACATCCCTGTTCTCCCATCCCCTCCTCAAGGTTTCCCCACCCAAAACTGCTTCCACCCAGGATTGTCCACCACATCTGCTGGCTGACCATCCTCAACCACCCAAAACAGAGGATTTATTTCCCACAGGAAAGAGCAGAAAATCCCAACACCAAAAAATAAAAAAAAAAAAAAATCAGGAGGCTCCTACAAACCTCGGAAGAACAAATTGGTGTCAAAGATCTTCACCACGTCCTCCCGGTCCAGCTTGTTGGGCCTGTCCTTATAGGCCATGGTGTTGCCGCTCCAGAAGACCCTGCCCTGGCACAGCCTCTTGATGAAGATGCCCTGCTTGTTGCTGTGCAGGAGGACACCCCTGTCCAGGTGGCCAAAGAGCTTCCTGGTGATCTGCTTCTGCCGCTCGTTCTGGATGGCGTCGGCCGACGGGAACCGCACGTGCTCCAGGGCGTCGGGGGCGTAGAGCTTCTCCCCATGGCCCGAGGGCTGCCCCAGGGAGATCCTGCAGCCCTCAGAGCACGAGGTGCTGACGTGGCCCACCAGCCTCCCGCTGTAGTAGAAGCTGATCACCATCTGGGAATAACCTGGGGGGTGAGGGATATGGGGGTCTCATCAGGGAAGGGACAAAGGCGCTCCTGGCTGCCATGCCCAAATTCCAGATCTCCTGGCAGTGACATTTCCAGGGCTGATCAGCAAGTGAGAGGTCCCAATGTTACAGGATCATGGAGTGGTTGGGGTTGGAAGGGATCTCTAGACCACCCAGGTCACCTGGAGCAGGTGACACAGGAACAAATCCAGGTGGGGTTTGTTCCATCAGTTCCTCTCTGAATGTCTCCAGAGAGGGAAATTCCACAACTCCACTCTGACACCCTCCTCCATGGAAAGTTTCTCCTCATGTTGAGGTGGAACTTCTGCTGGTTCAGTTTCAAACCCATTGAACCTCTCCCTCCTGCCTTTGCTCCACACTCCCCCCATGCCATGAGCAGATCCCCCCATCCCAAAAACTCCCCCCATCCTGAGCAGCTGCTCTGTGCCCCCCTGCCACCAGGCAGGATTCATCCCAGCATGGCAATGTGGATAATCAGGAGGGTGCAGCACCTCCCAAACCAAAAGCAAAGCCTCCCTGAAGGTAGGGGACAGAGTCAGAGCCACCTCCTGCCACCACAAACAGAGAGACAAACACCTGCTGGCCAGGTGAGGAGCCTTACCTGAGTGATACTGCTCATAGCTGGAGTATCCATTCATCAGGGGCAACGCTGTGGGCACAGAAAGCCAAGATGAGCCTGCACTCCCAAATCCCAAATCCCAATCCCTCAGCTCCCCCCACCACCCTCCTCATTTTCTGCCCAGGTTTCCCACACGAGAAATGCCAGCAAAAATCTCCCAGCTGGATTTCTTCATGAGTACTTCAAACATTCTTAATAAGGAAGATTAAACACACAATGGGGAGCAGTTTATCCCCACACAGGAAGATTTCTCCTGCCCCAAAAACGTCCCAAACACCACACAAGCTGCTGGCTGCTTACCAGGGCTGGGCTGCTGCACCCACCAGTCGGGTATTGGGGGGTTCCTGCAGGTCTCCTGGGGGGGTGAGGGGCTCCTCTTGATGATGCCCAGGTACTCATCCACACAGGAGGGCTGTGGGACAGCAGATACTGAGATCAGAGCTGGTTTGATGCCTCCAGCAAGGCTCAGGGGGGGCCCAAATGGCAACACCAGCCAATTTTTGGGGGGGTGGAAAGAACAAGTCTGGCATTGTCCAGGTTGTACATCTGAATATGACCCTCAAGAGCTACAGAGGGTGACCAGGCAGGTGTGACAAGGCCAAGGAGGGGCACAGAGCTGTGACAGACACATCCCCAGGGAAGGTCTCTCCCAGCTGGATGCACAAGGAAAGCAGGAGCCAACATCAGAACCTGGTGTGCTGGTGCTGGCTCACCTAGAGGAGCTGCAAACCCGACCCTGCAGCTCTGCAGAGGCAATTTGGGGAAGGAAGTGCATTCCCAAAGACGACAGCTTGACCCAATGTCACAGACATCTTTTATGAAAAATCCTTTCCTTAGGATATTTCCTCCTGAGAAGCTGANTGTGCTCCTGTCCCCTGCTCCACCCTGCTCCTGCAGCTTTGTGTCCTACACACCAATCCCTGCAGGTGCTTGGCACAGGGAAAACTGAATTTTCCAAGCCCCAGGAACAGCCTGGCTGCTTTATCTGCTCATCCACCTGCTGCCACCATCAGTGCCACCATCAGTGCCACCTGCACAGCACGGAGGGGACAAGGTGGGAGCTGAGGAGGGGAGCCAGGATCAATCCCTGTCCCCGGGGTGCTGCCCCAGCAGGCGCTGCAGCTCCTCCTGGTCCTGGAAGGGATTCCTGCCGTACTCCCGGCGGATCCAGGCGCGGTACTGCCGGGAAAAGAGGCACGAGAGGTGCCAGGGTGAGGGAAAAGCTGAGAAACCCCAGAGAGAGAGAGAGAGCAGGGGGAAAGCAGCGAGCAAAGCAATTCCTGCAGCATCCCAGGCACAGCCAGCATGCAGGACAGTCCCAATCCTATGGGAGCTCACAGATGCAGTGGATGCCCCATCCCAGCACAGCCAGCATGCAGGAGGGTCCCATCCCACAGGATGGAGGGATGAAGAAGGAAGGAAGGGGCAAGAGCAGCAGCAGGATGATGATGGGTAGGGTTAGAAAAGGAAGCCAGTGTGGATGATGTCCCGTCAGATGCAGTGGATCCCCATCCCCAGCAGGAAGGTCTCAGCCCCACACTCAGGCTGGAGGGATGAAGAAGGAAGGAAGGGACTAAGAGCAGCAGCAGGATGATGGGTAGTGTTAGAAAAGGGAATCAGTGTGGATGGATGTCCCCACAGATGCAGTGGATCCCTGATCTCAGCACTAGGATGATGGGTAGGGTTAGAAAAGGAACCCAGTGTGGATGGATATCCCCACAGATGCTGAGGATGCCCCATCCCAGCACTAGGATGATGGGTAGGGTTAGGAAAGGGAATCAGTGAGGATGGATGTCCCCACAGATGCTGAGGATGCCCCATCCCAGCACTAGGATGAAGGGTAGGGTTAGAAAAGGAAGCCAGTGTGGATGGATGTCCCCACAGATGCAGTGGAACCCACATCCCCAGCCCAGAGCTGGCAGCACCCTCAGCTTCCCACACTGCCTGCAGCTGGGACAGCAGCTTTATTTACTCCTCCTTGCCAAGAAGCTGCTGCTGCTCCTCATGTGCCTGAATTCCTGTAAGGGGTGATTCCCAAAGCTGTTTTTTTTCCCCCCACAAGCAGTTGGTCCTTGCAAGGTGGGGCAGGTTTGATGTCAGAGCACCTCGGGA